AATCTAATTAGTCCGTAATTTAGATAATTAAAAAATATTAGGCACGTATTTTTTTATTTGCTCGTATAATAAAACAATACTTAGATAAAACGAATCAAAGTTTAGGAGTGGGGGCTAAAACGTCATTTCTACGAATAAAATGTATATAGAAGTGACGTCACGCGACATTTCAAATCAATATATCGTCGAAAGTTTTCGATTCTGCAAGAGAATAAAAATACGTGTCTAATGATTTAATAATCTACCAGACGGACATTAAAATAAAAATTAGGCATTTAGATGCACCTATTAAACATGTGACTTAATTATAGAGTTTGATAATAGATTTTTTTATTATATACGTGGTAAGCGATGATGCTGTCTACGACGGAGCACGTCGATTCTGTTTGAAGACATTCAAGTTGTATTTGTCGGGAAACACAGATATCGACAAGGAATTACATTTCTTAGCGGTTAGCACAAGGACGCTTGATTTGATCACCATCAGCCACAAAATATCAGAAGTCATTCGATGATTTTCCCCCCTTAAAAATATTCTGCCATCAGTCCGTCGAGCGACATTATATAGGTCTCAGAACATCAATATTATCAACAACAGCCCCATGTTAAGCCGCTTCTGGACTACTGCTGCGTCTATTTAAGAAAGTCTACAATATTTTTTTGTACCAGGGTATCATGAAAAACAAGCGATAACTACGTGCCTATCTAGTAAGTAATAAGACATGCTGCTCCCGAGGGGATGATTTTCCCGCCTTAAAAAATCCCATTAAGATATGAAAATAAAGGCACACTCAAAGATGTAGTTAAAGAAAAATCCCGACAACGGTTTAACATTAATAATTATTATAATATTTGAAGTTACTATCGGAATCTGTTTCAGAATGTTTCAGAATTGTTCAGCGCTGAAAGTTATCGGGGTCACAGATAACATAGTGCAACTTTGTCAGGAGCTCAAACATCTGCTTCGAGATTATCATACTCGGATTAACTTTGAGTTCCCAAGTTAATTAATATCGGTATAACGAATATACTTCACTTGATTAGCTTCTTCATTGTTGACTATGTTGAAGTACGTCTTTAAGGATAGGTAGTGGAGTAAGTAACAACAATATGTTTTAAATATTGCATAGATTAAATACATTGTTTGATACAAACGAAAAGGAATATAGCAGAGAAGTGTTCCGAGCGTTATAGACTATTAAGTGCATGATATCTCACTTTTCATTAACTAAAAGTGTGTACTTAAAATCTTCATATATTACATCTGTAATCTTGTGTTATTCTGCCTAAACCAATGGTCGAAACGAAGACCAAACTCGGCAGCCGGACTTACAACCACCTACTTAGTCTTCCAGGTAATAAAAGTGTATTTACTTTGTTAAGAAAAGGTTTACAAAATAATACCTTTTCTTGTTAAACACGTACAGTCACAATATAACTCGTGTTTCTGAATAAACCCGAGCCTCTAATGCTTTCGTTTTGTATTTGTTTAGGCACCCGGCTGAGACGTACAAACACGAAACTAAAATAAGATCAAGGCTAATAACGTTTATAAACGCCTGGTACATACAATCTTATGCCACGATTACAGCAGAGTAGATCTTTTGTCATCACCCACTGAAAACCGACGTGAAACAACACTTGAATTGTGTTTCGTCGTGTGAGTGAGGTTACCAGAGGCCAATTACCCCAACAATCCTCAAATTCCTAATCTCCAAAAGGCCGGTAACGTACTTGTAACGTCTCTGGTGTTTTGGGTGTCCTTGGGTAACGCCGATTGCATATCATCAGGTGATCAGTCTGCTCGTTTACGGCGTAACCCATAAAAAACTCCGTGCCATCCATGCATCCTCATGCCGTGGGTGTTGAAAAAGTCAACTAAGGCTTTGCATGATGGAGACCAAGCAACGAGGCTCTCTGATAAAACAGAACGTTTTACAGTGTTATCTTCGACCGTTCTGCTAAGAGTGGAGATTATGTCAAAGTTTCGTACGTTAGGTAGGTATTGATCCCAGTTATCACCCCTCACAGAATGGTGCACTATTTACTGGACACCCTGAATAGAGGTGACACATTGTCCTGAGCTGCACTGCCACGGGCTGTTGATGTGTTGCGGGGTTCCTATAAATGTAAAATATGTACGTAGCAGCAACATAACTTGTTGGTGCTGTGGCTGGGGAGTGGGCAACCGGCTGCCGCGCAACGTGTATCCGGTTCGGTTCCTGCACGAAGAAGCTCTTTGTGTGATCCGTGTATTGTTCTTTGTGTGATCTGTAGTCAACTTGTATTATTGTTATACGTTATTTAAAAAAAAGGCTCATTAATATAAAACTAATTTAAGGGCAACTAAAAACGAACGATAAAACAATACGTATAAAAACTACATACTCTGTTAAAATTATCTTCCGAACTCACTTCGCTCACTGCTAGAACAAAAGTTCAACTATTTAGTAGCCGGTACTAAAACTATGCGAGGTGTAAAGTCCATGTCGCAGAGAAGGCGAATAGCGAAGATAAAATTTGCTGAAACTGCTGCTTTTCGCGCAGACCATGATATTATATTTCCTATCTCTTACTTGCACCAACTAGAGTTTGGACAACTTGTATTTTTTTAATAAGCCAATATATAGTATGTATAAAAAACATAACGGCTTTCATTTTTTGAAAAAGACACATGACGTTTACTTTTGATATGTAACATACGTTTATCAAGTTTTCTAATGTGTCATGTAAAATAGGAAAGTTACTCGAACTATATCGACATTATATTAACACGCTGGTGGACAATGCCAGATTCTGAGCTAACTACCAAAAATATGGAAAACATTACAAAAACCATTATGCTTCGACAGATCGTGCTGTAATTTTACGTGTATTCAAATCGCTACCCGCTTTCTGTATAGCAGACACCTTACTCGAAAGTTAAAATTCACAGAACGGAGCAACTTTTAATGTATGTTCAACGTTAAATAGAAAGCTATATCGTTCATTCATTTGTTCACGACTGAACTATTTGGCAGAGTAAGTGAGTAAGAATAATTAGAATAGAATAATATTCTGACCGACTTAGATTAAAGATTTTTATTCAGTCAAAATAGTTCAGATTTCATTTGAGAAGAAAATTAATGACCGGATGTCATAATTACGTAGTTTTTTGTCTATGACGTCAAAGTGGTATTGATCACCGCTTGCTTTTCTCACATTTAACCGATATCGGGCAAAAGCGCTATCCGATAAGCTTAAATCTTTTTAACTGCAACTTCCAACCCGCCTACCCCCTTCCGTGAAAGAGATCACCTATACTATGGACGGTTACAGAGTATTGACGATTTTTTTTATGGGATATTCAAGCCGGTAAACTGGCAGACGGATCACCTGATGGTAAGCAACCGGCGTCGCCCATGGACACCCGAAAAACCAGAGGCGTTACAAGTGTGTCACCGGCTTTTTGGGAATTAGGGATTTGATGAATGTGGGGGATTCGGGGATTGGGGTGACTGGCGAAGGGGGTAATTGGGCCTCCGGTAACCTCACTCACATGACGGTTTTCTGTGAGGCCGTGGTATCACTCCGGTCGAGCCGGCCCATTCGTGCCGAAGCATGGCTCTCCCACACTTAAATGATATGAATGCAATAACCAAATCACCCAATTATACAATTAGCTTTTACAGTTTCTTATTTCAATGCATCTAATTTTACTTAATACCTTGTGTATGGTCGTAATTCTCAAAGGCTACGAATTCCAGTGGCACACGAAAACTTTAATATTCGCCTTATTTCTGCATGCAACATGCTTGTGATGCTTGCAATCTTCAAAACGACCACAAGCTGTTCACAACGTGGTTTTAGCTGTTTTATTATAGCGCTCGCTGTTTGCAAGGACCGTGTAGCTATTATACTTGAAGATCAAATTAGAAAATAATGGGTTGTTTAACCAATTTTACATATTTGACACGCCTTTTGATCTCAAAATTGTGGGCAGGGGTGAACATAAACAATGTGACAACGACTTTTTACTAGCGATGACTTTTTTACAAGCGCAGTGTAATGTACATGCCTACTGCCATCCCTATTATCATCAACATCCTATAAATGCCCACTGCTGATCAAAGCCCCTTCTCACACGGAAAAGGTTTGAGCATTAATCGCCACGCTTGCTCATTTCGGCCATCCCTATGGGGGTGTACTGTAATAGGCGTCGCACTGTGGGGAATCCGGAGTAGGTCTTTTAGGGGACTCGGTCGGTGCCCCTTATGCATAGGTGTGTGTTTAAATAAATAGTTGTTGAGGGTGGCCACCATCCAAAGTCTTTTTGAAAGTCTCCCCGTCATAAAAAAGGCCTACTGTCATACATCGGTCATAATAGAGATGATGACAGGGTACAAAAATTAAAAATGTAATTAGTCCATCAGTTAGGTAATGAAAAATATTAGACACGTATTTATTTATTTAGTTGTATAATAAAATGATACTTAGATAAAACAAATCAAAGTTTAGGAAACGTAGAAATGACGTTTTAGCCGAGTGGGTCGGCTAAAACGTTATTTGTACGTTTTATACATAGAAATGACGTCACGCGACATTTCAAATCAATATATCTTCGAAACTATTCGTTTCCGTAAAAAAATTAAAAATACCTGTCTAATGTTTTAAAATAATCTACCAGACGGACATTAAAATAAAAATTAGTCATCTACCCCATTATAGGTACCAGAGACTGTTAATATAAAGAATTTTCTAAATTATTTTTTAAACCTAATATTACCCAAATAATGTTTTGCCCGAATCAGCGATTAAACCCCGAAGCTTAACAATAAAAAAAACGAAATATGTAATTGACAAACATTATGTTTATTTACATACCAACTCTTACTTATTTACAAAAAACCCGTTGGTCATTTCTTATTTAATAATGTTTTACAAAACATGTAAAATAGTTACTAGGAACTCATGTAGTGACTAGAGAGTGAATATTAAATATATATTATCGACCTTTATTTTCAACTGTCGTATCTTTGGAATTGTATGAGAATCACCAGGTACGTTGTCACTGCACCTATTACCTGTTGATAAGAAAAAATACTTTTAAAACATTGTTTTTTTTTCATAGTATTACAACATAACATAACATCACGCCTTTTTATCCCCGAAGGGGTAGGCAAAGGTGCACATTACGGCACTTAATGCCACTGTATAATGTAACACCCACTTTTCACTATTTATGTTATGAGTCCCATGTAATAGGGGGTGAACCTATTGTCATATACCGGGCACATTTCCAGACTCCGTGCTACTGCTGAGATTTTTATAAACCCAGTAATACTTTGCCCGACCCGAGAATGGAACCCGAGACCCCTTGCCCGGCAGAGTCGAGGTAGTATTATAAATATATTTATTTATTTGCTTACAGAAGCAACGAGCGGTCGGTGCAGAGTACACATCCCCATTGGCGCGTAGCTGACTGACTGCAGCATCAGCTGTCGGGAAAATATCTCCAGCCTGGAGGGCAGCACGCCAGTAGATGGCGCCGATGTCATCAGCCTGCATACTAACGCCTCTGTTCTTTTGCCCTGGTACAAGAAAAACAGATAAGACGCTAACATATATTATATTATTTTTACTATTATTATTTTATATATATTTTTATGGCGTTCCATAGTCTCTGCCTACCCCTATTATTATTTTTACTCGACTGCTAAGCACGTATTAGAATATTATCAATTATGTTTTTGCTCGTATTTTAGAAGATTTTATTGGTAATGTCTCATGTAGTGTTATTTTTATTTTATGCTTTGGAATATTCTATCTAGAGTGCCTTTAATATTAGAATATTAATGGTAATTTCTTACCTCAGCTATAGTATAGTGTCCGGGCTCCACGACGACGATCATACGCAGCATGTGTGTCACACACCACAAGAACTGCAGAACCAGGAAATGAATGCGATTCGTAGACACGACTGCAAATTAATGACATACTTAACGAAATACTCACGATATATATCGAGTACTTACGAGTAGGAACAAGGGCAGTGGCGTAAGGTATCTTGGTGGTGGCCCCGTATAAAACTTTGTTCGGGGCCCTTATATCTCCTCTGCCCAATTTATCGGACAATATTTTTTTTTTTTAAAAAAAACGTTGCCCCACACTAGGATTTTCTCCTGTGTCGTGGGTGCGTTTACAAACATACAAGTTTACATACACATGACACCCAGACCCGAAACAACAATTTGTGGATCACACAAAGTGTTGTTCCGTGCGGGAATCAAACCCGCGACACGTTGCACGGCAGCCGGTTGCCCAGCCACCGCACCAACCGTGCAGTCAGCAACAATGATTAGGTATTTTAGTTTCTTCAAAGTTTTTGCCAACGTTTCTGTCAACCTTTGAACACATGCATTTGTGATTATTAAACTAAAATATAAATTGAGAAGTTTTTATATTTTTGCTTACACACGTTTTTTTTTTAAGGAGGGAAATCATCGAGTGTCTGCTCCCACCTGGGTGAGGCGGGAGGGGGAGTGTCAGACTGTTACTGACTAAAAACCACCCCGTTTCTTCTCCTGCAAGTCGAGCCGGAGCCCCGGTTACCCGTTAGGTTCTCCGCGACTGCTTACACACGTTAGGCACGTTACGCGTCGAGGGCACTGAAGGTTTAATAAAAAGTACCAGGCTCACATAATGTACTAGGAGATGGAGGCCCCATATAATTGATACAGCAGTTACGCCCCTGAACAAGAGCGTGACAATAAAACGCACAGACGCGTCGAGGGCACTGAAGGTTTAATAAAAAGTACCAGGCTCACATAATGTACTAGGAGATGGAGGCCCCATATAATTGATACAGCAGTTACGCCCCTGAACAAGAGCGTGACAATAAAACGCACAGACGCGTCGAGGGCACTGAAGGTTTAATAAAAAGTACCAGGCTCACATAATGTACTAGGAGATGGATATAAAACAGTGGGAGAAGTGACAAAAAATACTTACTGATCTCCATAATCAAGAAGTATGGCGTAACAATGAGGTGTAATAGCGTTGAAATTAGGATTACGACGAGAGGGAGGCCATAGCTGTCATCTATACTGTTGACGACATCACAGAGCGTGCCGTGTAGGGCTGCTAGACGTCTGACGGCGTCACATGGAGACACAATGAGGCGAGGCTCCCCACTGGCTGAAATAATAGACACTATTGCGGGTATAAGGCTGACTTCCAAAAGTTCATGCTATGAATTTTAAGAGTTTAAGAGCCCTCGCTCACAGGCGACTATAAGTAGCTATGCTGTCGCGCATAGTATCGATACCGACCGGACATCGAAGCATAGGCAATACAAAATTCATAGAAAAGTATCGTTTTTGACATTTCAATAAACGTATTGCATTTGACTACCTGTCAACTACCGTATTGTTATTGATTAAGTTGACTGTCTCATTGGCCGAGTAATCGCAAGTGCAACTACCGGGTAAGGGGTCTCGGGTTCAATTCCCGGGAAGGGCAAAGTATTACTGAGTTTTATAAGAAAACTCAGTAGTATCACGGAGCCTGGAATTGTGCTCGGTATATGGCAATAGGCTCACCCCCTATTACATGGGACTCATAACATAAATAGTGAAAAGTGAGTGTTACATTGTACAGTAGCATTAAGTGCTGTAATGTGCACCTCTGCATACCCCGTCGGGGTTAAAAGGCGTGATGTTATGTTATAAAATTGTTATTATCTCACCTGTCCTCTTGATTATGACAACATGTTCCCTGCCAGTCATGGTTTCCACCAGAAGGCTGACGTTCGCCGACCGAGCCGAGTCAGCCGGCGCTACCCGGATCGCATAAATGTTAAGAGGCGACGAACTCTTCGGTTTCTCTACTGGAAAATTAACACATAAATGCTAACTGTCGTGGTGACCCGGAGGTTTAAGACGCCCGCTTCTCGTGCATGAAGGTGCGGGTTCGAAACCTGCCAAGTACCGATATGACTTTTTCCGAGTTATATGTACTTTCTAAGATTATTTAGACACCACTGACAAACGGTGAAGGAAAACATCGTGAGGAAACCTGGGCTTATAATTTCTAATTATAAATTTGTAATCGCCAACCCGCATAGAGCAAGCGTGGTGATTAATGCTCAGACCTCCGTGTGAGAAGAGGCTTTGCTCAGCAGTGGGCATTTATAGGCTGTTGATGATGATGATGATGATGATGAACACATAAATGTTCAGTAGTTAGTAATAGTAGCGAGACCCGAACATTGTCTTTCGATAAATTAATAATTATAATTAAATTCGTAAAATATGGTTAACTAGCTTTTACCCGCGGCTTCGCTCGCGTCACAAAAGGATAAAAAGTAGCCTATGTGATATATACCAATACACACAGCGCCATCTACACCAATACTTTTTTCCCTCGGGAATATCAAATCTTTCCAGGATAAAAAGTACCCTATTAATTAATCCGGACTTTTAACTTTACGTCAGCAAAAATTCAAATCAATCGGTTTAGTAGTTACGGCGTGAAAGCGGAACAAACAAACAAACTCACTTTCCGATTTATAATATTAAGTAAGGAAGTAAGGATTTACTGTTAAAATAAATGGTAATTGAAAATCTAATTACCAGGGACGGAGACTTGTCGAGCAGTTAGCGCTAAGGCATCGTTGACAGCTGAGAAGCGCGCGCGCACCGAGAGTGCAGTGAACGCGAATTGTAACTCTAGTATCAGTACGACGAACCACAGAAGGTAGAACCCAAGGTAATTGGTTACTACGTCCCCTGGAACATAACGTAACACGAAGATATAAACAAATATAAAAAAGTTAAATGGGTTTAGAATAATTATGTACAAATCGCCATCCAATAAATCTTCTCTAAAAACATTTCATAATTTCAACTGAAACAGAAAGGCTCATGGACTTAACTCCGGCTTTATACGACTGAAAAAGTATATTTGATATAACTTTCGTGAGACATACTAAATTAAGTACTATATTTTCGGCTCACTTACGTAATAGGGTAGTTTCCTAAATTTTGTTTTAATGTCCGTCTGGTACATTAATTTAAAACTTTAGACACGTATTTTTTCTTTTCTCACAAAATTAAAAAGTTTCGACGATATATTAATTTGAAGTACCGTGTGACGTCACAGCGTGCCACATTTTGTAGCACGTCATGACGTAACAACCTCCCACTACTAAAATTAGCGCCATTTTATCTAAGTATTGCAACTTAATGTAAGAAAATAAAAAAATACGTGTCTAATATTTTTCTCATTATCTAACTGACGGACTAATTACATTTTTTATTTTGACACCCTGGCAACTACCCAATTATTTGATGCGGAACTCGACTAGTTTCAAGCCATACTAGAGGCTCATATTCATGAGCAGCATTTTGCGACCTGCGACGTGGCGACTATCGCGCTGCTACTGGCTACTCGAGTCTGCGGGCCCAGTGCGCCCTCTGCCGTGATTCGCGCGCACTTTCCTCTATTTCTCGGTTTGAGTTTATCGTCAAATAATTACGTAAGTAAGCCGAAAACATAATAATTTATTGACTGAAAAATTAGCCAACTTTTCTTTTAATTATTGAGTACATTCATTTTAAAGCGACTCTTGTCCTATTTGCATTTCGAAAACAAAACTATTTCAAACCTGTCTGCTTGTGCTCGTACACAAATGGCAAAGTCGAATTTAGAAAATAACATTTTTCAACACATTGCCTTACATTCTCTATCCAATTTCTTGGCCTGTAAGGCGTAGAAGGTGAAGTCGTCAGCGATGAGGATGGAGAAGAAGATGAGGATGGCGAGGATGATGCCACACAGCTTCCGCTCCGTCACTAAGGAGTATTGCCCACCTATACTCGTGTCCACCTGGAAATCATCAGTAGAATTTTGTAAGTTAATATGTAAAGTGAATAAATAGTCTGTTTGTAATATTGAAATAACCTCTTTCTTATTCTAACCTCATTTCTAAATTTTTTTGTTGTTGACGTTCAAAAATGCCTTCTGGTCTAATTGAAATAAATGATTTTGACTTTGACTTTGACTTTTTACTACAACATTAACTCGTCGAGTACCGGTTTTATAGACACAATTAAAGAACAATAGGTCGCGGTCACCGGTGACCGCTTGGTATTTGACAGTTTAATATACATATTTTTTACTACAATATTTATCTATTTGTACTGCCTAATCTCTGGAATGGCTGGACCGATTTTGCAAGACTTTTATTGGTAGCTGATGTTGATGTTGTGTAGGTTGATGTACATAAGGAGTAACATAGGCTACTTTTATTTTAGAAAAGAGAAAAACGTTATGTTTTAAAATTCATATTCTACGCGGACGAAGTCGCGGGCAACAGCAAGTATTATATAAAGGGAAATTATAATCTCTTACTGCAAAACCGCTTCAACTACATCCTCTTATGTAGCTCTCGATTCTGCTGCCTTTGTACATTTTCACTAGCACTATGGAAAGCGAAGAAATATTAATTTTTCTATTCACAAGTCTCTATGACAGTTATTGGACGCCTTTGGGACCTATAAATAGTGTGTCATTAACTAGTCGTGCTGTACCGTATTTTTTCGCACAAGATGGCGCAAATGTAGGAGAGGTAGGAACTTTTGTGCAATCACAGCAGCTGTCAAATATTAAACGTCCAACGGTGTGCCTCTAATTCTCTATTGAACGAAGAGCGAGAGGTTAGCGCTAGTGCCATCAGGGTGCTTACTCTTGAAACCAATCTCAATATCAATGATATTGCAATCCAATAAAATCTCAATAATTATCATAAAGTACTGTGTGTAGTGATAGTGGTAGCATGTAAGATCTTTGTATGAGTTGTTGAATTATTCTCACACAACTTGGAGTCTAGGTGGAAATAAGTCGCTTGATAGTCCGGTGAGATGATATTTATTGATACACTAAACTAACACGTCGACTAGTTGATAATATCTAAACTAATGATTGATGAGTACTGATGTATTTGAGTGCTGAACACGTACTGAATACACATTTATTGCTATAACTATAATGAAATTAATAAACTAAAATCTGCTGCCATGAAGCTCGCGTGCGTGTGATGTACAGTCGCTGACTCGTACAATCTTTATAAAAAAATATTTGACCATGAAAATTATGTACTTGTAGTATGACAAGAGCACGGACACAAGTCCGTGGAGAAATTCAACTTATTTATTTTTAAAAAAATCTCAATAATTATTCTATGCAAAAACTATACAACCACTATCGTAGCTGTTAAAATAGCATTCAGGGCATTCTGAGTACGTAATATAAAGCCAAACTCAATACCATTTTGTTCATTAAATATCCACGCAATACGGATGTAATAGGCGCTAGTGTTGCAACTCAGGAGGACGAAATTTTATAATACCAATGTCGATCGATCGGAATTGGATTCAAGACTAAGCCCCCTGGTTAGTAAATATACCGTGGGCCCATTGCCAAGCCGAGGTCTAATGAAATTCTCGGGTCGGACTAAACATCACTAACTAGATCGTATTGCTACGAAACTCACCGAAGCGATATTCTCCATGAACTTCAACATGTTCCTCATCCGTTGGGGCGCGCCGTAGACTCCTGCGCCGGCAGTCGCGACCACGACTAAAACGTCGCACGTCGACACGACTTGCGACATGCGCGAGGACATGCGCACTGACAACTCTACACCCACGTTAATCTCCGCTACTAGGCCGAATATAGTGCATATTACTGGAAATTAGAAAATTATACGAGATTAATATTGGAGGAAAGAAATACAATTTCAATTTCGTAATTTATAGTTATTTCCGAAATCTATCGATAGTGTAGTCTGATAAGAATCAATAATACTACATATTTTCGAATAAAATCCACATACAATTACCCTTCCCTTTCCCAATGTCCCGAAACTCCTAATCCCCAAAAGGCCGAGAACGCACTTGTAACGCCTCTGATGTTCCAGGTGTCCATGGGCGACGCCGATTGCTTACCATCAGGTGATCCGTCTGCTCGTTTACCGGCTTATGCCATAAAAAATACTTTGTGTTATTCATTATAAAAAACCACTTAACTTCAGAATGATGTACTTATCTGAATACTACATTACGTTTACCTCGAAGGAGATGGTAGTAGAACAAAGGTTCTTACCTAGAACTGTAACTAAAATGTAGCTGTAGACACACATGGCGCTGGATATGCTGACCGTGAAGCCATTGTTGCGGGCTTCGAACCGGAGGGGAGCCAACCCAAAGAAACTGGAAATCTGAAAACAGAAATAGTAGAATGTGTTTATTATTGAGGACTAGCTTCTTGCCAGCAGTTTCGCCCGTTCTTGTCGCGTTTCCGTGGAATAAAAAGTACCCACCCTATGTCTTATGTCAGACCATCAACTACCTGTGCTCTTTCATCCCATTCCCTTCAATCGTTTTACCGTAAGCAGCAAATATACACACAAACTTATGCAGGTATTAGTAAGATTCAAGAATAAACGCAAATTATACATAACATGGAGAGTCTTTAGAGATCAATTTACAAACCTACTCAACAAATGGAGCGGCGCCATTACTTCCCCCAATATTTAGTAGACTGAAGTACTAGGACTACATACACAGTAAGGGCATGCTATCATAAGTACCTATGAATGCGTACCATCGACCACGCAGTGCATGCATGAGCCGATCGTGTAGCAACAGGACGTCCATTAAAAAATCTACTCATAAAATAATGTGGCGGCGCCATTATTTTCCCCAATTTAGTAGACTGAAGTACTAAGGCTACATAAATAGTAAGGACGTCTTACTCTAAGTATGAAGGCATGCGCTCCACCGACCACGCAATGCGTGGGCCGGTTGGACCGCGCCTCCGACTCGGTCGGCACTGGCGCGGCCGTAACTTCCTCCACCTTCGCTGACTCCACGCCTGGAAAAAGCAAAAATTAATATATTTTTGATAACTGACAGTCAACCCCAAGACCCTTAAGAGACCCGCTTACTATTTTATAGTTTGAGTACTAAATGTGATCATGATTTCGTTTATTTAAATAATAAAGCAATTAACATTAGATGAGGTACCTATATTCCGCATTTCATTTCGTATTTCCCCAAAAAAGTTGGAAGCAAAACTTCTTTTTCCTTTCTTACGAATAGGAACACTTTGAGAAACATTCACAAAACCCATCATTTGTCGAAACAAAACACTACTTTTCTAATATTTATTCGCAAACGAAAAGGAATCGTAATTTAATGTAACTTAAAGTATTTTTTCACTAACGCTTTTTATTTGAAATGGTAAAGCTAGATAAAAGTTTGCTGCGCACAGGAGCCGGTAGCTCATTACTGGCCATCTATCTTTACAACTGTCGATACTACAACTTTTTAATTATCTCTTGAAAACCACTTCAAATGTTGACAAGGGAAAATAAATCGTATTGCGCCGAGTTAGGTATTTAATTTAACTGTGACTGAGTACAGTATAATGATGGATTTATTTGTTCGTTCTGTTGTTGGATTACCTACATATAGGTAGCTTCTAACGGTTTATTTTAACAAAGGTAGGTACTTCATTACTAAAAAAAATTTATAAGTAAATCATTATTTTTGCAAACATAATCCCCACGAATCTACAACTTCGAATCTTTCGTCATGTGAGTCAGGTTACCGGAGGCCCAATTACCCCTGCCCCTTCCCCAATCTCCCCAATCCCTGAATCTCCACGAATCCTCAAATTTTTAATCTCCAAAGCCAGTAACACACTTATTACGGCTCTGGTGTTCCGGGTATCCATTGGCCACGCCGATCACTTACCATCAGGTGATCCATCTGCTTGTTTACCATGTTACCACAAAAGAAAAAAATAAACATAAACTACTTAAAAAGCTAAGTCAATTCAAAGTAACATTGTGAAAAAGATTACGAATTTCATTCCCGAGTAAGTATCACGAGTAATCTTCATGAACTTATTCAGTATTGTATATCAGGAAAACAATTGATCAATATGTATGATATAGTGCCGGTGGGGGGCCATTTATCAATAAATCTAATAACACAGCATAACAATATGTGTCAGGAATGCCGACACAAACACTTGACGGCTTCGATAATATTCGGATAACATCATAACACTCTTCATATTCTCTACAATAAATGGTAAATATGACTAAAATTATTACTGGTGTATAAGTAGTTCAGTTTCGCAATACAATATTTCAGGTAAAATAATTATATTATTAGAAAACTTAAAAACCCTCATAGATTCTTCCTTACTCTTGATATTAGAAACTTATTGATTTTAAACCACATCGAATTTTAGAAACTCGAAAAGCAGGTAAATTAAAAAGTAGGTACAACCACTACAATGCACTTATATTCTCAACATCGAAATCAAATTACAAAATCAGGACTACTTAATCGGTATCTATTAATTGGAAAGAAAAACAAAAACAATACATAAATAAGCAAATTGACTTTCAAATAGATACACACACAAAATACGCCATTTCAATAACTTCCGAGTTCCCGCCATCTTGACTTTTCATTTCTCGAACCACAGATTAAATTTTCCCACACGCGATATGGTGTTTTTTGTCTATGCTTCTAATAATAATTTATTTATTTATTTATTACTATCTTTTACCAGCGGCTTTGCCCGCGTATTCCTGTTTTATCCCATGGGAGCATTTAACTGGAATAAGAAGTATCCTATCACCTAAGTCAGCTCATACCCTGGCTGTATACCAAATCTCATCAAAATCCGCTCAGTAGTTTTAGCGTGATTGACGGACGAACACCCAAACAAAGAAACTTTTACATTTGTAATATTAGTGTGATATATTTATAATACACCTAATTAAAAAAATATTCGTGAATTTATAGACAGAAAGTATACAGCGCTACAAAAAAGGGGCACATTACATATTTTTCTAACTACATTCCAAGTTATCCAGTAACTACACATCTATGAGAACGAAATGAAGATGAAGAAGAGATATTACATATTGAGTTGCAACTTAAAATTTAACACCTACATCGTTGAAAAATTACCAAAAAATTAATCTTAAGTCATGAAATTATACGTACCATATATCACCCTGGCGATCGGACTGAGACTTAAAGAATAATTATTTTGAGATATCCAATTGGATCTTATCATCTTATGTCCAATGTTTAGCACTGCACTCATTTAAAAGTCACTTATGGTGCCTCACTTAGGTACTCACTCTACTTAGGTCACCTAAGCAGTTACGTATTTAAGGCTAAAGTATTTATTTTTCACAAAGCACCAGAAATATTAGTCACCTTATATATCATACACTTGAGACTACATTTAAAAAGAGATCATAGTTTTATTTAACATAAATTATAAAAAAAAATTAGTTACCCATTTAAAAACACTATCAATATAATACTTAAAAAAAAACAAATTTAAATTTTATTTCTGCGGATAAAATTACTGTTATCAATTTTAATAAAAAAAATCGTACCATAACGTAAAAATTATAGGTAAGCTGTTTTGTTTTTGACAATTATTATTTTAAATATCGAATTCAGTGTTTTGTTTGTCAGATAGAGACGTGTAAATGACGCGCGCTGCAGTGTTGGTATATTTTCACATTAATGGAAGCCGAATTATCTGATTTCGTGTGCCATATGAATCATGGTATAGAAGGAAACGTATTTAATGGTTTTTATTGCAAAAACATTCTATTACGGTCTGTTTTTATTAAACTTTAAAGTATGTATTCTATTAAAAAGGCGTTTAATTTTATTGATGCAGTTTATTACGATTTAACTAAAAATCGCGGGTTACTCAAGTGAATATACTAAGAAAATCTCCATTAGTTTCGAACCCCATAGAGAGGTTCTTCCTCATGAGCAGCGTGCGCGGTCGCGGCGAGGCCGTGCAGCCTCAGCCAGTGCTTTTCTCGGTATATTCACGTGAGAAATCGCCGATTTTTAGTTAATTTAATATGTCTCACGATACTTATTATTACGATTTCTTACGATTATATTATTTAGGGTAATAGTTACGTTATATTATAATGTATGTATGAATGACATGATTGTAAAACATGGATAGATGTTCTGATAAAGAGCTATTTAATTATAAATATTTTATTTAATGTTCTGTTAGACAAACTAATGGATATTCTGTGGTACTTTCAATTCGAAATGTATCTGTTAAGTAGGTTTACTAAATTTTTTATTAATTGCACCATTACTAGTAATCAATAAGTATAACTAAAGTCTCAATAGAATTAAACTAAGACTTAACCAGATAAAAAATATTTTTGATTAAAATATTATTTCAACCAATCGATGTCCTTCGTTGCCGGAACACTAATGAAAGATGACATTCACAATGGCTTGACGCGTTATAACCATTCTAAGTTACTAAGTTTGACACAACGAAATCAAAACAACATTAGAGCATTTACTTTAGGAAATACACACAGACGTCAGTTTGTCATACAACGTTACGTTTTCATAATCCTCTTTATAGGCAATAATAATAAAAAAGGGATTCCTAACACTTGATAATATTAGCAAAACGTACTCTTGACAAGTCACGGAGAACCTAACGGGTAACCGGGGCTCCGGCTCGACGTGCAGGAGAAGAAACGGGGTGGTTTTTAGTCAGTAAGAGTCAGACACGCCCTCTCGTCTCACCCAGGCGGGAGCAATCATTCGAAGATTTTCGCTCCTTAAAAATAAAGACAGTAAACTTACAAATTCTATGCAACAATGACCCAGTTGACCACAACTTGTAACCTTTCTTCATTTTAGAGATTTTTAGGCTTCAGGTACTAAAAATTAATATTAATTTGCTCGACGACAAGTCCAACAGTGCTTATTGTGCCTATGGCTGGTTGGCAGACGGCTGCCGCGCAACGTGTAGCGATAGCGAATTGGAGGATTGGTATGGAATCGGGGATTGAAGAGATTGGGGAGGGCGGTAATTGGGCCCCTAGTATAATACATACACGCACACTGCATGTCATCTGTATATGTGTAACCGCACCCACGACACAGGAGAAAATCCTGTAATGGGGCAACGTTTTTTTTTAGAAAAAGCTATGCTACCTGTACTTGATACCCGTATGTCACGTGTAATATAAGAAATGAATTTTTTATATCAATAATGGTGTTACTAACAACTAACTTTATGAATCTCTTTATCACCAAATATCCGAAAATGGATGAAAAACAATATAATGATCACGTGGGTGTCCAAGGTCAGAGGTCAAAGTGAATGAATTTTTATGGAAGAGCTAATTTTATTTTGTTTTTTGTTTATGGAAACTCGTTAAGGTAATTTGTTTGTCTGTTTAAATAAAAAAGTATACCTAAGTAACTGAATTAAGGTAATTTGTGTCCATGTATTGTTTTGGAAGTTCATTTTATCGCCTATTGTGTTGTTGGTTAAGTGGACGGAAATGCGACTACCGAGCCTTGGGTTGCTAGTTCGAGTCTTGAAATTTATTTCAAAAATATTTTAAAACTGATTAGCAAAAGAAGTGTGTAGTATTTTAGAAAATACTAAGCACTTCTTAGTATTTAAAAAAATGGAATTCTAGGATTTCTACAAAATAGAAACAATGTTGTTTTAAAATTAAAAATCTGAATTCGAAATTACATTCTAATTTTAAAATTAAAATTTGACCATTACTGACCTTCCTTTCTCATTTCAAATATCGAAGCTTTGTACATACGTACTAGCTAGAAAAATACGTTGAACGCTGTCGACGGCGTCAACCACAGTCTAAACAAATACCACAGAATGTAAACACACGATTGACGTACATTTGTTATTGTACCACGATTTAACTTTGTTATTATTTTTTCTATAGGTAACTAAAATACATTTTTGACAATTTGTATAAATAAAAACAACGCTCATATTTTTGTTGTAATGAATTCTAGAATCAAATATGTACTTTTAGGTTAACAATGGTTCGTATCTACATACAATTTTGGGCCTCGTCAGCATTCAGTGATTCAATCGCAATACTGGCTGTCTAACTCAGCCAAAGTCTACTTTTTCGATATTTCATAAAGAGTGGAAAAGTTGAATAGCCTTTACAAATCACTACGTAGCACTTTCTGGTAAGTTCTGATATCCTAGTACTATTTAACATGACTTCACGTTACTTAATCCTAATATGAAAGTTAAAAAAAAAACGTATAAAATAGGTATATTTTTTTATATCAAACCCATTGTTTTGAGGGCCAATAGGCTCACTATTTAGGCCTAACGCCGGACACCAATCCTTATTATGCAGTATCATCTTTCCTTTACTTAAATATAGTAATCATCGTGTCTACAAAATGCTACTATCAAGTCTATCTCGAGTTCAATAAGGGCTGTATTTAAGGGCGTGAACCCCTTGAATAATTAACGAACTACGTACGAACAATTTATTACCAAAACAAACACCATCATTTGTCACTGCTGTGTTTAATTTATTTATTTAGGTATAACAGACACACCCACGACTTGAATTACAACTGACGTGATTCGAACAAGGACATTTTGATGTTTTTTTTACATCCTTCAGACAGAAATTCAATGAAAATACGTACTAAAGAATATTATGCGTCCCGATCAATGGCAAAGATACGAGAAGGTCTTGTAGCCCAGGTTACGCTGCAAAGAACTAGACAAGACAATCCATACAAACTACTACTTGAATTCCTGCGGCCCTGGTACAAAATAGCCACGATAGTTGAGCTAGAGATAATATTATATCTTTATCTAAATTTATTATTTTTTACGTTTTAAATTTAATCTACCAGAAGGAAATAAAATTAAAATGTAGTAAAATAACCTATTGTTGCTAAATAGATTTCCATGTATCAATGTCCTTTGAATTTTTGTTATGTTAGGATGAAACGGTAAATTAAACTGTCAAACACCAAGCGGTCACCGGTGACCGCGACCTATTGTTCTTTAATTGTGTCTATAAAACCGGTACTCGACGAGTTAAAAGTAATATTGTCTTAAGTTTGAATATTATACCATTTAGTTCTACACAAGCACCTTTTAAACTAGATACGTGCAATGTAAAGCTGTAGCACAAATTCTCAAATCGACAATTGCAATCGTCGATACTATCCGCATTGGTATAATTCTAATATTAATCATTCATGAGATATGTTTGCATTGCAATCGCTCCGGATACATTCGTCCGCGAGTGCGATCAAATATATTATAATAGGTATCAAGATGAAACTCGCCAGTTTCGTATAAATTCAAAGACAAGAAACCACGCTAATATTGAACTTTACAAAACATAAAATGTGTTGAGATAAAAATATGTAATAAAGAGTCGTCAGACCACCACAGATGGGGCCCAAAAAGGCTGATACGGAGCCCCGGAGAACTTAACGGGTTACCGGGGCTCCGGCTCGAAGTGCTGGAGTAGGAACGGGGTGGTTTTTAGTCAGTAACAGTCTGACACTCCCTCTCGCCTCACCCATTCGGGATAAGTCATTCAATGATTTACCCCATAAAAAAAAACAGCAGCGCTGTATGCTAAGCGTAGGTACTTATTATGACAAACCCTCTTATGTAGAGGAGGCCCATACTCCAGCAGTGGACTGTAATGAGCTGCTGCACGTTCATCATCATCATCAACAGCCTATAAATGCCCAATACTGAGCAGTATCTTCTCACGGAGGTTTGAACATTAATAGCACCACGCTTGCTCAATGCGGATTGGCAGTTTCAAACTTATAATTACAAACTATAAGCCCAGGTTTCCTCACGATGTTTTCCTTCACCGTTTGTCAGTGGTGTCTAGATAATCTTAGAAAGTACTAAGACTAGGTTTCGAACCCGGCATTCTCATGCATCAGAAGGGCATGTTAAATCTCCGGGCCACAACGACGTTTCTGGCTGCCCGTGATAGATACATCATTAAATTCCCCTTTAGTTAATACGCGCCTAAAATACCAATTCAAACAACAGCCACATAATTGATAACCAAATTCAGAATGAACTTAAGCACCCCAATTACTAATCAAATTAAAACTCTACCCCCTCATTAATAAAGTTGTTATTGCGCATTTAGAGGTGTATAGAGGTGTGTCTTATGACGTCATAGATAATCGAGTTTTATGTGAATAAATATTTACTGTTATCGTCCAAATGTATTTCGAGAAGTGCGTGTTGAATTAGGG